TGACATATAATCCACATACATTACATGTTAATGGTGTAAACATATTAAAAAGAGTGTGCAATCATCAACACAATCAATACTAGAACATTTTCTTCCTTCTTATAATAATTAATTCCCTATTTCCTTTCAACCTGCCCTGCCATGAACTAAGAAAGTATTAAGCCAATTACTGTTGTTACAGATTTATCTATCATGAATTCACATAAAGAAAAACATACCCCAAAAGTTAACAAGATGAAACACGGAGAAAATTCAATCTAAATGAACGTAGCAAATAAACAAAATTTAAATGGGTCAAAAAGGAGAACAAACGATAGTGTTAGGTCAAGGCACTAAACTCACAGCAACTCTATGCACAACAGAAGGGAACACTGTGCCATCCTCATAGTTGTTCTTATATTTGAGCCCATTGTTACAGCCACAGTGCAGCCACAGATAACAAGGTGTTAAATTTTACTCTAACTACATCTGCATTAATCCACTTTGCAGTGCACTTTGTCTGATAGCCACACTATTCACATGCCTGGGTCAATGGTCAGAAGGGATTCCAGAGGGGATTCTCTGGAAGCTTATTCAACTTTAGGATTCGGTAAATGGATTTTTGGCTTTCAGTATTACCTTTAGCTTTATGCAGCAATATCTTTTTTAATTACCACTATTATGGGTCTGACGCAAATGAATAAGAACAGTCAGTAAAAAATCAAGACAAGTTGCTGAATGAGATTACCCAGCATATAAAGTCAGCAACTGTAATGAACAAAACTCTTAATACATGAGAGCTTTTTTAAATACATGAGAGCTGTGTGCATTTCTAAAGATTGTGTTCTTTAATGTATTGGTTGCCATTTAGTATATACAAATCACAGTGTTAAGTATTTGAAGGTAGAGAGCTCCAACTTAAGAACAATTAGATCTTACATCCTGTCCCGGCTGAATATTCGACCTCAGAAAGGGAACACGGAAGATACCAGTGCTATAGCAAAATGTGGCAAAGAATTTAGGTGGTTGGCGGCTATCAGATAAAATAGCATCTGGAGTCTTAAAAGCATTTCTCCAAACAAGCAGCCATCTAAGTGAGATGTCAACTAAGTCCACTTGGAAGAAGCACACTATCATCAGTCACCAAAGGATTGGAATCCAAATAATCCGAAGTCGAAGTATCAGAGCCTAAATTGTGAGAATCTGATGTGCACAAGGCTATGGATGACAGTGGGAGCCCAAGATTCATTTACAGAACTACAGAGGCTATAAAAGCCTCTGGAGAATCCCACCCTATCTAAAATTGAGGAATGGACACAGAGTGCTTGGGAGAAATGAGTATAGAAGATCAAAGGCCTAAAACTGAGTTGTACAGTTAAAACTCTTGTCAGTAGATTCCCCCCCCTATGATGAAGGCTGGACCTGATCTGGTTCCCCAAATTTTATGTATTATTGGTTTGTATTGTTTGTTCATATTAGGAGAGCGTATCTCAGAAGTATTATGTCATTGGAGGTCACCCTACCCTCTTGAAGTTGTGTTATATGCTTTTCCGTTGTTTGGTGAAACCCATGATTGATGTAGAATAAGGGTTTCGGGGGAAGGGCGGTATAGTGGTGGCGGTGGGGTAAAAGGGCGATGATGTCAAGGAGTCCATGTACAAAAAAATGTCTGGAAACCAACTGTGGTAGCAATGGCACATTCTACTTGACATGACTGAACTATATAAAATGATATATGTATTATATACCAATACTTTTTTTTAAGTATTTGAAGGTAGAGAGAGGAATACACCTCTCTTAAAATAAGAGAATTTTAAGCGCAAGACATAGGGTCAATATGAATCAGAATTGACTCAACAGCAGTGGATATAAGGTGCAGAAGAAGGGTTACAGAAAGAATGCTATTGAATATGGACTTATTGGAGAAGCAGCCAAGTTCAATGTCTCAATTTTGACTGGCTTCTGTAGGCAAGAGTTCCTCTAAATAAAGGACTTCTCTAAGTAATGTCAGAATAACGCCCCTAAGTAAGTAAATTAATAACTTTTGCTGTTTTGGGACACCTAGCTTCCCACAGTACATTCAAGTCTAAAATGTTCCAGAAGGAAACTTGTAACATGATAAGGTAAACCTTGTGGCTAGCAGCCCGACATGTGACCCACTATTCCACCAATAAAAATTCCTCAAGGTGCCCTAGTAGAGCGGCTGGGTAAGCACTGGACTGCTAACCACAAGGGCCACAGCTCAAACCCATCAGCTGCTCCACAGGACAAAATTGAGGCTATCTGTTTCTGTAAATAGTCATAGTGTCAGAAACCTTATTTAGGATTGCTATGAGACTTGATGGTAGGGAGCTTTTTGTTTGTGTGTTTTTTAAAGGCTTCTTCATCCAGCTAACGAGTATGCCTTTCTTCTCCACTTCTTCCCCAATATCCAACCTTTCCTAATTTACATTCTTGTGATAATAAGGACTTGGGTTTGGCTCTGTTATGTCTACTCCTGCTTTCCATAAAGATAACTAACTATTCAGTCTTAATGTTTCAGGATAGACCATTTGGTCTCGGTATTTCATTTGGTCTCAGTATTTCATTTGGTCTTGGGTTGTCTGGAGACTTCCAGATAAAGAGTGAATGCATGGAAGGAAGAGAAAAAACAACACTTGTGGAATTGGTTTTTAAAAATAGAATGCTTTCTATCAACCCACAGTGATACTAGGATGATCATAGGTAAATTAACATGGGATTATAAGTACAGTTTCAAAAGGAGAGTATTATAAAGTGACAGAATTCGTTTTGCTTCTATTCAAAGATCAGGATCCCCAGTAAAAAAATTGGATCATCATAGCTTCAATTACAACTTGAATATATTTCATCATCTCTCAAAAAGTCAGCCCCAAACTACTAAATATTTACTTTGTAAAACGCTATAAATCTGAAAAACTCAGGAAGAACCAACTAAAGCACTTAATTACACTTCAATATAAACCAAAATTCCAAAGTCACTACTACTGAGTCGGTGTCAACCCACGGTGACTTTACAAGACTGGTTTGAACTACACGAGTGAATTTCTAAGACTGTAACTCTTTTTTTTTTAATTAAATACTTTTATTGGGGGCTCTTGACTATAACTCTTCACAGGAATAGAAAGTCTAATCTTTCTCCTGAGGAGCAGTTGGTGGTTTTGAACTGCTAACATAGCGGGTCAAAGTCCAATGTGTTAACACTATGCGACCAGGGCTCCTTACTTTAATGTAAAGGAAACAAAAATCCTTATAACTGCACTAATTGACAACATCATGATAAAAGTAGAAAAGACTGAACTTGTCAAGGATTTCATTTTACTTGGATCCACAATGAACACTCATGAAAATAGCAGTCAAGAAAACAAATGACAACTGCTGACATTGGGGCAATCTAGTGTACACGACCTCTTAAAGTACTGAAGAGTGGGATGTAACTGAGGACTAATTGCCTCAAATGCATGTGAAAACTGGGAAACTAACAAGACCATCAAAGAAGAACTGATGCATTTGAATTACAGTGCCAGTGAAGAACACCAACAGTGCCATGGATTGCCAGAAGAATAAGCAAATTTGTCGTGAAGTCCTGGTGGCATAATGGTTACATGCTGGGCTTCGATCTACAAGGCCAGCAGTTCATACTACCAGCTAGCAGCTCCTTGGGAGAAAGATGAGGATTTCTATTCCCAGAAGCAGTTACAGTCTCAGAAATGCCCTACCCTGTCCTCCAGGGTCACTTTGAGTCAGCATCAACTTGATGGCAAGTGTGTGTGTTTGTGTACTGAAGTACAGCCAACGTGCTCCATAAAAGTGAAGATGGTGAGACTATCACATAGTTTGGACATGGCTCAGGAGTGACCAAACCCTGGAAAAATGTATCATGCTTGGTTAAGTGGAGAGTCAGTTTTTTTAAAAAAGGAAACACTCGAGATGGATTGACACAGTGGCTGCAACAATGGACTCAAACATGACAATGGGTAGAATGGCACAAGACTGGGCAGTATTGGCCACAGGATCACAACAAATCTGAACGGACTCACTGGCACCTACACCACCAACAATAAACAAGGCAATCTTATCAACCTACATGCATACCAATTATTATAGAAAATTCTTTCTAAATTAGGAAAACTCTGCACCCCTAAATCTAAATACTCTTTAACACAAACATGCAGAGCTAGGAGGTCAGAGTTAAGAGGCTGAAATAAGTCTTCAGATTAAATGACAATCTTTAATCTGATTCATTAGTGTAAGTCAAATTTCAAAAGTTTTAAATCCAACCACAAAACATTGTAAAATTCCCCACAATTTTACAGCCTGAGAGGGAATTTCCAGATTATTCTTTAAGCATGCAGTATGCACCACAGAATTCATCTTCGGACTGGATGTAAAGTTTCCAATTAACTTTTGACATTTTTACCTTCTGTTAATCAAAACAAACTCACAGCCAACGACTGAATTCCAACTCACAGCGACCCTAAAGGGCACAGCAGAACTGCCCCATAACGTTTCCAAGACTGCCGCCTCTTTCTCAGGCAGAGCGCTGGTGGGTCTGAGCTTGTGGGCTGGGATCACCAACTTTTCGGTTTGCCACCCGAGCTCTCTGACAACGGTGCCACCAGAGCCCCTTACTTCAGGTACTTGTAAACTTAAAACTTCTACTTCAAATTTCCAAGTCTTCCTGAATCTACTTCAAGTAAATCGCACTTCGAGACCCCCAATTTACCGGCAGAAAGTAAAAATCACTAAGAGGACTTTCTTATCAAAGAAATTAGGAAGCGCCGGCCAAGGAAGTGTGCACCGGGAAAGCTGCACGGAAGGCAGGAAAGGTGGAGCACCGCTCCAATGCCCCACCCGCGAGAAGGGCCCGGGTCAAGACTGGGGGTATAACTCAGCAGCAGGTGCGACTTTCTGGCACTAGGACAGTCGCCGCGGGCTTCGGACCGACCAAGGGATGTCATTGGCGGGGCGACAGGACGCGCGCCGGGGTCGAGCGACCTTACCTCGGGGGTCCGCTCCGGAGGCTTCTTCTTCAGCGCCTGCCTAGTGCCAGAGTCCACGGGTGAGTTCATGGCCGCAGCCCCGGCCGTCTTGCTTCCCAGCCTCACCTTCAGCCCACCCTAAGACCCATTCACCCCAGCTCGAAAAGAGTCTACTTCTGAAGAAGAGGACATCCGAGCGTTTCGGGGTCAGTGTTCAAGCAAACATCCCTTCACAACGCCCGCCCTGGGCTTCAGCCCACGCGCGACTGGCCAGAAAGAAGCCCGCGCGGGGGGGGGAAGCCTTGGGAGCCTGAATGGGAGAGTGCGCATGCGCAAGCACGCAAACGGGCGCCTCACAGAGCGACTCTACAGTGACGTAAGAATTGGGCGGTTCCGGGTAAAACCTTTCCCAACCCCTTGCATGAGACTTAATACTATCTCGCGAGACTTCGTCTAGAGCGTGTCACGTGATCTCCTGCAAAGTTGCGGCTTCTGCAGCTCCAGCTTCGTGAGGGAGGGAGGGAGGGAGGGGGCGGGCCGGAAGCACTGTGGGTTTGAGCAGTAGTCATTTGTTGAGGCAGATGCGTGCGGAAGGCTTTTGGGGTGGAGAAAACTGTTGCTGCTATGATCCGGAAGCCCTGGGCGTGACCAAGACTTGAGGCCGAGCGTCCGCGATTTGGAGGAAGTTGAAGCTACCATCCGCAAAGTAAGGCAGTTCATGTACTTTCTCCTGATTACTTCTCCTACAAAGAATCTCTTGTGAAAGTGGCCGGCCGAAAAGTGCTCGTTCTGCACAAAACAGAAGTCAAAGAATCGTAACAGAGAAAGCACGTTCGTGGCATTGAAGCGGTGGGCGGCCTCAGTACCTGCTGATTACTGGATCTAGGTCGGCAGTTTCCACAGAACCACGCAAATTGAGAACCAATGTCCAGGGCAGCTTCTTCCTTCCACCCCTTCCCCCGACCGAGCAGTAGGATTTAGGTGGTTTGCACTCTGGAGTGACAACCTGCGCGATATGTTTTACATTATCTGTTTCCCAACAGAGCGAACAAAGCCAATTTTCACTTTGGTGGTCCAAAACCAGATCACTCCTAGGGGCAATCTCACAGCTCAACAGTTAAGGCCACTGATGGAATTTTGGCATCCAGCATTCAGAAACACACAGCCCACATTAGAGATAACGCAGGCACGTCCTTTTCGCTGAACCTTTGAGGGCAATGACTACATGTATAAGTCTCTCACAGCAATTCGCATAGTTCACTAAACAGCTAAATGATTTCTGACATGCTTTTCAAATAAAGACTGATTCACAGTTTATTCTTTATTGTAAAGTAATAAAAGGTAAAGGTTAGTGCAGACTGTAACACTTTCTTGTAATGATAGCTGATGTTAATAGGATTGTGTTTTCCAGTGGGCCTTCGTTTTGTCCAAACTGAATTTTTCCAGTTTAAGACAAAAACTTCCATCAGGGAAGTTGTAGCTTTGCCACTCAAGGAAAAAAATAAATGTGCAAAGATGACCTTATGTTCCAGATGATCCATTTTTGTTCATCACATTTAACAAGCATAAGCATAGCCATAGGGTAGGCCCAGGATCACAGATTAATCCATTCTTCAACATTTCCAGAGCTACGTCAATACTTTGGAAGATGAAAAACATCTGCTGACTAGGTAATGAAAGTATGACTATCATGCACTTGAACTTTTAGGGTCAGACCAGAAAATTACATAATTCATGGGCAGCACTTAGATGTCTGCACAATTCAAGCATTTTTGGTTACTTTACTGCTAGGATATTAAGTGATTTCTGTAAACCCCTTGATTCATTCTTGAACAATTTGATGGTTATTTATTTTCATGCTATTTCCCCCCCACCTATAACAATTCAGAAATATGAACTCTCACAAACAGCTGATTTGTGAAAAACACTTAAAAACTAGTAATGCTGAAATTTCACATACTCTATGATAGCAAAGTCCTGCATGCAGAACCTGAACAGACCAAGAGGGAACAGAACAAGGGATACTGCTTGGCTTAAAAGTATCTTTAACCATACTTATTCAATCTGTATGCTGAGCAAATAATCTTGAGAAGCTGGATTATATGAGGAATGGGATTCCATATTACTGGGTTATTTAAAATTTGTGATACGCAGATACAACCTTGCTTTATGAAAGATGATCAAAGACTACGACACTATGTATTACACATTAACATAAAGACAAAAACTCTCAGACCAATAAGCAACATCATAAGCAGAAAAAAATACTAAATTGGTTGAGATAGCATTTTACTTGGATCCACAATCAATACTGATAGCAGGGACATGAAATCAAATGACATACTGTATTGGGTAAATTGATGGGATTTCTATGTGGATATTCTATCACAGACAACATTACACTTCTAGACAGACCTTGAAATGTCCTTTTGGACAATGAAAACGACTTTGCTCTTAAATTTGCCATTCTCGGCATTGTAAACTGAGTATCTGAGAATGGCCAATACCAGTCCATTTCAGCTTACTAATGTTCTGAATATCAATCTTTATACATTCCATTTATTTTTCACAACTTCCAATTTTCCTGGATTCATACTTCATACATTACAAATTCCAATGACTAATAAATGTTTGAAACAGTGTCTTATTTTGAATCAGGTCCAATAACAAACGAAGGACCTGAGTTGTTTTTTTTGGTCAACTCTACTTAAGGAAGCTCTTCCTCAATTGTGCTTTCAATGCATCCCTACTTACCAGGCACATCTTCTGGCAGTATCTCTGACAAAGTTCTACTATTCATAAGGTTTTTTGTATCTGATAATGCTCCCTAGCTACTCATAAGGTTTTCAGTGGCTAGTTCCTCAGAAATGGACAGCTTATTCCTTTTTCATATCTGTTGTCTGGAAGGTCTACTGAAACATGTCCACTTTGGATGCCTTTCCTGGTATTTCAAAATCAGTGGTATAGCTTTCAGCATCACAACATGCAAGCCACAACAGTATGACAAACTGACAGACAAGTGATGGCTTCAACAATGGTGCTGATAAAATTAGGTCTCCAGCTACAGACGAATGAAACAGGGTTCATACCTCACCCACATAAAAACGAACTCATCAAAGACCTAAATGTTAACACTTGAACTAAAGATCACCAATGAAAAAAGACAAACTTAAGAGCCCTAATACATGGCATAAACACTATCAAATCTAGAGCAACAGCTGAAAACAAATGACGTGGACCTCCTGAAGAAAAGACATGTATGTGCATCAAAAGAGTAAAGAGATCCCACAGACTGGGGGCGGGTTGTGGAATATTAGACAAGGGACTGATCTCTAAAAACTATATAAAACTAACACATCAAAGAACAGAAACCAGAGGGGAACGGAAACAGTGGTCGGAGTGAGATTTGAAATAATTAACAATCTATAATCTATCGGGGCCACGAGGGTTGTGGGGTGGAGGTGGTAGGGAGGCAAAAAAGGAGGAGCTGATCCTAAGGGCCCAATGGAAAGTAAATATCTAGAAAAGAATGATAGAATACATGTACGAATATGTCGGATCCAATTGATGTATGGTTTGTAACAAGAGTTGTAAGAGCCCCCAATAAAATGGGGAAAAAAGAAACAAAAAATAAATAAAACTAACACATCAGCAAGTAAAAGACAAAGCAGTTCAACTGATAAATGGGCTAAAGATATGAACAGACAATTCACCAAAGAAGACATCCAGGTGGCTAGCAAATGTGAAGAAATACTTTCGATGACTAGCCCCAAGAGATGAAAATCAAAGTAGCTATGAGCTATCAACCCACACTGACAGGGGAAGCAAAATTAAAAAAAAAAGAAAACTTCTGGTATGGAAAGATTGGAGCCCGCATACACTGATGGGGTAAAACTAAAACTACTACACAAATGCAGCATGGCCTGTCCTCCAACAAATGGGAATAGAAATACTACATAAACCAGGAATTACTCAGAAAAGTAGATCTGTATGTATGTAGGAATGACTTTGGACATGTCAGGAGAGACCAGTGCCTGGATGAAGACATGCTTGGTAGAAGGTCAGCAAGAAAGATGGTCAAGCTTCAACAAGAGTCTAAAACAGCGGCTGCAACAATGTGTGGATGGTATAGGAACAGAGAATGTTTCATTCTGTTGTACATAAGAGGTCACAATAAAGTCAGAGCTGACTCAACAGTATCTAACAACATCAAAGAGTACAGTCATTTGCATTGGATTCAATGTGCTTAGCTTCTACATAGCTTCAGGTAGGCTTCAGGGGATTGTTCATTTGCTTTCATGAAATCATTTAAAGAAAATGTCAACTTCTCATTTGCAGTATATATAAGAATATCCTAGAAGCTTTTTGTTTTGTTAGTTTGCTTTTCATAAAAACATATTAGTAACAGCCAATAATTGCTGGGCAATTGCCCTATACTTGGCATTCAGCATTACACTTGATCCTCTCAGCAAGCTAATGAAGTAGACTCTAGTAAATTACTGGTACAGAAATCGTGCATTAGAGATGGGCAACTTGAACAAGGTTAGAGGCCTCACAGTGTCTGTTGGGGCACAAAGGTGTTCTGACATCAAGCGCACAATACTACATATAGCGGAAGAAATGAAAGAAAGACCAACATCACACAGCAAATTGACATGTGTATTTATTGCACAAATTTCCCCCTTGAACTGGGAGGTTATTATAATACAAGTGCACATTTGAGAAATGTATACCAAACAGGGAACAAGTATATACATTTTATATATTTGATCATCTGAATAACTTAGAGAAAGCAGAACACTCATAGTCAAGACATTTACCATAAGTAGGCATTGTGTAGAATCTGGGGGGGGGGGGTTCTGTTTGTATGTTTTTTAATGAGCAGCCCCAGTATATGCCACTTGCAATAAAATGAAATCTGTGCTAATATGTTTATTGCACTTGAAATTTTTAAACTCAAAATTAAGACATATTAATAAGAGTCAGGAATAAAATCAGTTAGTTTATATACAAAGAAACTGTAATTTCAATTCTATCACGTAAAAGATCCCTTTTTCATTTCCTTTTGCAACAAACAGGTTTTTAAATATATATATATATATGTGTGTGTGTATATATATATATATATATATATATATATATATATCAGACATCTGTCTGTACCAAAAGAAGCTGAAAAAATTATTTCCAAACAGGTGAAAACTACACATTCACCACAATGACCACACTTTAAAGAATAGCAAATCACTTCTTGGACTTTGGGGAAGGAAAGAATGACTATGAAGAAGGTAGCAGAACTTACTGAGGTTCAGATATTATAAAACTCAGGAATCCTGTAAGGATTAATGATTCTATAAGAAATGAGAGGCCTTTTCCTTCCCAGCAAAGCTTAGTTTTAAAAATAACAGCATAAACCATTCTTTTGATTAAGAACCAAATTTCTTATTTGGGAACTTATTAGAGGTTTCCAATAAATAGGGTTGAAAACAATTTTGATAATTAGTTTAAAAAATAAAACAGTCATTAACAGACATTATCTGACACCTTACACATTATTCTGAGCTATAATCAAAATTTTCCCTGGCAGTGAAAATAATGTTCAATGACCCACATATAAATGTTTCTGTATTCTGAATTCTGTTGCTGAATGGAATAAAAAATAATTAAGCCAAAGAAAATATATCCATAAACACTCTTTGGCAGTAAGTCATCCATGGGAGACTTAGGTACTAGCTGGAATCAGCTGATAGGATACAGTGGCCAAATTAATTTTGGACACATCAATTCCAGGTTTACATTCCATTAAAGCAACTATTTCTTCTTTGCCTACTTTGAGATCTCTTAAATACAGAGCGAAAACAAAATATGACTCAACACTATAAATTCCATGTCAAAGAGTAAGTAAACCAAGAAATTTCCTACTAATTACTGAAAATTTAAATAGCAAAAATGGGTGTTACACTTTAAAATGTGTTTAGTAATGAAATGAGTAGTTTGTACTCATTTCAACTGATCAGTTATGATGAAAATAATCAATGAAAGCAGAAACCAACTTCTAGCATTAGAAGTACCTTGACTAGATAAGCGGAGAATAAACTATACTGTAGTATTCCAAGTAAACTGAGGTAGTAGAGCATATTGGAAACTATCTACCCATCTGACTATTTACATTACTTACAAGATTTTGGTTCCATTATTAGCCTTTCATCAAAGCAACACTATAGTATATACAAAGACAGTATCAAATGAAGTGTGGAAATCTGGTGGGGGTAGGGGGAAATACAAACAGTTCTTGGAAGAGAGGAGGCTAATAAATGCCAGAATTTACAGAAATGAGAGTAACTTTAAAATTTATGAGTTCCACTAATGTAAGCTAAATATTTTGAAACAGTGAAACATTCAGCTCCTAGAATTCAAGAAGCTGATACCAAAAGCAAGGGCCTTGGCTACCTGAGCACTTGTAAGGAAAATAGTATTTTTGCCAATGCTTTCGTGTAATTTTAAATTCTGATTCTTAGTTTTAAAATTAGACATCAAATATGTAAATATTAGTATTTATAAGAATTAGCTTATTGGTATAAACACAACAAATGGTATAAAGTAGTACTCTTAATTTGGGGAACCTATATCCCATGGCCTTACAAAAGATTTGCTTCATGTGTATTTTTGAATGTGTTGAACAGGAAAATCACCAGAAAGTAACATTACACACAATTAATACTAATTTAAAATATATATTAAAAACATCGTATTTACCAATCATGTATTTTACCTTTGCTTTTTTAAAAAATAGATACATATGTACACTTAAGCAGTAATATAACATATTTACATTTATTATTGAGTTTGTTATAATTAATAGAATGTTAAAAATAGCCGGAAATTAGCTACCTTGAATTGAAATCAAGAAATAATCAAGAGTAACAAGGATCTTGGTACCTTAGGAATAAGAATTAAATGATAATTTCCAGCCATTGAGGCATGAGACAGTTGCTATTGATAAATTATGTAAATTTCATAGTGATCATATGAAATTTACCCATGTTACTCGTTGTTGTGAACTTTGACATTTTTTTATTTTTTCCCCCAAATTACTTAAGCTGCTTTAGTCTTTTGGTTAAAAATCTACCACCCAAAAGTCTAATTATACAGAAAAAGTCATGAGATGTTCATTGAGTACGAAATGCTATACAGGAATAACAAAGGGACTGACTCATGCAGATGGAAGATTATCAGAGAAAAAGAAATATCACATGATGTGCCTGCTTCTGTGGTTTTGACTTTAACTTTTTTCTAAAATTATTTTCTCAATCTTTAGATATTTTAAAGAAGAATCTGGGCAACATATGGAGAGTGAGTGCTTGCTACAGCCGCCAGAAGAGGAAGATCACTGGATTCAATCCTGAAACAAAGGAGGAAAAAAAATCTCAATACAAACTTTTAATACTTAGGACACCTCTACCATAGGCAATGATCTTTATACCTCAGCAGCCAGGGTACCTTAATCAAGACAAAAAATTCAAGAGAATTGAAGAGTTTACAACATATATAATAAAAATTAGTGGTTTTTTTCTAAAATAAAACTTTAATTTACTTCATATAATATACTGTATAAATTACATTACACAAAAGGTAATCAATGTCTTTTCAATAAGCAAAACTTAGAACCTCAGAAACCCAGAGTTAGCCAAAATCATGGATGTAAGAAGGGGTCTCAGTGATACAGTAGTGAACTGTGCATTAGGCCAAGGGATAGTTTGGGAAATACAAATTACCATATTAATAATGTGCACCCAGATGATGGGGTACAGATTTTTCTACTACAAATGTACTGGAAGCTTCTGAAAACGATATCCTGCCACAAGTAATGTACAGGGGGGAAAAAATGACCAATGGCATAGAAAAAGTAACAGACTCACTCTTGGTTAGAAAATTTGAATGACGTTAGGTGCCATTTTTCATTTAGTAACAGTTGGAAAAAATGTACTTCTCATTGTGAGAATTTATACACATACTTTCTGAATGGCATTTAGTATTATCTATCGACATATTTACACCATTAAAATTTTTATACACATGCCCTTTTACCCAAACCTTTACTTCAAAAATATTATCCTATAATTTTCAACGGTTTATATTCATTGCAGCATTTGTCTATAACAGCAAAAACAAAAGTGAAATGATCTTAAGTCAACCACATTATTGAATGCTATACAATCATTTAAAAGAATAAAAACGATTTAGAGTATATGAACAAATATTCAAGATATATTAAAAGGTATGCTGTATAATGACATATCAAGAGTTTTATTTGGGTATGGGTTTGAAGTTGGAAGAAAAAACAGCTGTTTTTCATTTTATGCCAAAATGGTCTGTGAACTTTATTTATATGTTCATTCTCTCTCACTCACACACACATACACCCCTTTACCCGCCCCTCTCAAAAATAAATATTCTCATATCATTCTGTATTATTTCTCAAGCCAAAACTCAGGAACTAGAGAAAGACCAGTAGTCTCAATTTCTTACTTGCTCTACTCGTATGCAACATCTGGCATATTTAAATTCCACAGCCATCCATTTCCAATCTGGGTCTACTGTTTGTACATTATTGGGTGACAATAAAAACTAAACAATATTAGTGAAAGAATTTAATATACAGTTTTTAATATACAGTACTTTCTTACTGATGTTGGCCCTTTCTCTCAATAAGAGCACGATGATTAAAGTTCTAACTTGATTTTTTAACTAGCATTTCAAAAAAGGACACACACAAATATAGACTCATAGACACAAGAAAAATGTCCATTAACATAAAGACGTGTGTGCGTGCGCACACATACACACACACACACACACAAGTCAAGCCCACTGCTGGCAAGGAGAGCTATCTTACTGTTCTTCCCTCAGTTAGCATTTTAGGTAACTACAGGGTAAGACAGACAATATACATTTATGAGGAACAGGTACAGTGAAAGAGTTTCCAACGTCTATGGGAAAATTTCATTATCTTTTAATTCTACTTTTCCATGAACATCCTGAAGCCACTTATGTCCATAATAAACTGTCATCCACAGAGTATTGTAACTTCCATTAGCTTATCTTTAGGGCACAGCAGAGGCTGAAAATGATGAATTTACAACAGATGGCAAAGACCATTAGGAGAAGTATAAAAGGGAAACTCTGAGGAATATTCCTTGCCCACAGCAGAAAAATGAAAAAAAGTGAAGCCAAAAGGAAATCAGAACATACCCCAGAACCACTCCTAGCTCCTTGACGTGAACTCGCATCTGCCCTCTCAGATACTCAGAAAGCATTTTGCTCTTGAAGTATAGCTCCTGTAACCGGTCTTCAAGGTGCATGACACACTGCAGTGAAGGGAAAAACAACCACGTCAGAATATATTTTCTAACTCTTGAGTTCCTGCACATTCCAAGGCATCATGTGTTTGACAATTATACTTAGTCATTCCAACATGAACTAAAATTTGGAGCACATTTTTACAGCATGTAGTTTTAGCCAAGGAAATATATAAACATTTTATCTGGCTCATATGAAATATGAGCTCCTACAGAGATTTTAAACCATCTTAAAGTTCTCACAACAAGAGAAAGAAAGAACGCAGGCTGAAAGTTAGAAATGCTGCTTTCAATAAAAGGCAATTAGAATTTCAAAGAAAAAACAATCAGAATCCCAACATGACACCCAGGATCCAGAACGCACTAACATTCCGTACAAAGACTAGGGACCCTGCAGGATCATATTCCATATAAGTTATTAGTCAGGTATTGAGAGCAAAAACTTGAAACTGCTGAAATCATAAAACACAAAGATATGTATACATACCTTCTTTCAGAAAATCAATGATGAGGCTAGCAGGAGTAGTTAATGTAGGAACACTCTAAATAGAGTTTGGTAACCTATCAGGGTTAAGTATTTCAAGTTTTACACATACTTACAAAATTTGGAGATAGATTATGTTTATAAAGCTGAAGAGTGGAATGAAGCAGGTTGGAAACAAGACTGGAAACCAATACTTCCTTTCCCAATTTATTATCTGTCATTCGTCTCTGGCTACTGGCCACTTGAACAGTCCATTTATCCATATCTGCTATAATACAGACAGCTTCTGCTATTGGTTCATCTAGCACTGGATGCTGCAAAGAAATGAATTCATCTTATAAGAAAATGGGAGTTTTCAATGAAAATGCTAGTGAGCGGAGAGGGAGGGAAAAAAAGAACTGATCCCAAGGGCTCAAAAGAATGTAAATGTCTAGAAAAGAACGAAGGACTATATGTACAAATATGTCAGATACAATTGATGTATGCTTTAATAATAAAATGTGCTTTATCTTTAAATGGAAATATGACAGGGAAAGAAAGATTAGTAAGCCCAGTTATTAAAGGCAGAGGCCATATACCTCTTCCTTCTAACCATAGTGGAACGAATTACAGAGCAACAGACCTGGGTCCACTATATAAATGCTTTGTAAACTCTGTAATGCAAATTCTTTTCTATTTGTATTACTCCTTGTTCATATTTCAGAGACAGTACAGCACAAGAATTTTATTCATAACTTAAACAAATGCACACCATAACTGAATTATAGGTCTACAACTTCCTAAGTAACTAAAAATCCTTTATAAGCCATATCTAAAATACAGGCATGACAATAATATCTTAAAGGATTATTACTAAGATTAAATGAGAAAGTGCATTGAAGTTCCTGGTACATAACAAGTCTGCAATAAATACTAAATGCTACTGCCATTACTACTTAAAGTAATTAATAAGTCAAAACTATTATAAACCGAAAATCTCTTTGTCCTCAGCAGGACACAGCAACCTCTTCCAATGCCAGACTTCTGTAGTGAAGTATAAGGAAGGATTTTTTTGAGGGCAACAGTACAGATGGAGCACCAAACAAGATTGCCTAAAGAAGTAACTCAATACAGGTAAAGCACCAATGAAACACACAACACTCCTCTGGTTCCTTGAGTCTTCCTCACCCCCCACTATCATGACCCTCATACTATCTTTCACTGTGGGCTACACCTGAGTATGTACACAGGTACAGTATGTACACGACACATGGAAACCAGGAACAGGAATGGGAGTAGCAATACTAGGAGGGTAGGGGGAAGGTGGGGTGAGGAGGTAAGGAAGGGAGAACCAATCGCAATGATTGACACATAACCACCCCAATACAGTGAACCCTCGTTTATCGCAGTTAATCGGTTCTAGACCCTACCGTGATAAGTGAAATTCCGCGAAGTAGGATTCCTTATTTGTAAATCAAATATTTTCGTAGAGCATAGAGGACATGAAAAAACACCCTTTAGTCACCATTACACTCGTATTACCCAATTTATTAAACGAAAAAGGGAAAATACAGTAAAACATTTTGGACGTTACAATTATCATTTATTATTTATTATATTATTTATGGCATCTAGTTTACAGTATTACATATTTCACATACAGTATTATTATACATAGTTCTTACAAATACTGTAATCAAGAGCCTATGAAATGACTTAAGGGATGTACTCTACAGGTGGGTCGCCGTCTTTTTCCTCTGAAGGAGCGGGTGTAGGCAATGGGTGCTGTTACGCAAAAACCGCAATAGAGTAAAGCCGCGGAAGTCGAAGCGCGAAGTGGCAAGGGTTCACTGTACATCCCTTGGGGGGGGGGGTGAACAACAGAAACTGTGGGAGAAGGGAGTAAGCAAGAGGTGTAAGATATGAAAATAATAATAATGTATAATTTATCAAGGGGCCCAGTGGGCCCAAGGGCTCAACAGAAAATAAATGTTTAGAAAATGATGGAAACATATATGTACATATGTGCTTGATAAAATTGATGTATGGATTTTTAAAGGAGCTGTAAGAGCGTTCAATAAAATGTTTGTTTATTTTTTATAAAAAGAAGTAACTCAATAAATACTGAGCATAGTGTCAGGCACTGGGAAAGCAGGGTTAAAAAGAAACAGATATGGATCCTTTGCCCTAAAGGACAAATATGAGTACCATCAACTAAAAGAAATTCTCCCCTCTGAAGCAATAAATTATTTTGTATATTTCTCAGCGTTAATTGCTCTGCTTTGTGCTTAAGCACATCCATTACTGCATAAATAAATGGATATCTGAAAAAATTTCTTTTTCATCTTCTTTTAAGCATTATCACTAAATTCAGAACATAGGTTAGTAAATACTTATGTGACATTAAAAGATCTAAAAGATCACCCAAAATATTTTTTAAATATGAAGAACATGAGTTGTGTTAATCTTGCTTCAAAAACTTTTGTTTTCATATATATCTACCATAATTTCCCTGATATATAATAAAATACTAACAATTTAAAATTCTAAGTAACTTTTTGCAGCCAGAGAAAATCTATCAACATTTCTGGTGAACAATTAAGTGACTGCTCATTTGCTGAGCCATTATTTTCTCATTCATGACTTCCCAGTTGGTTTTCTCCATTCTTTCACAAAACTTTAGAGTACTAAAGTGACACACAGAAAAAAACCCCACAAAATTCAACCATCATAGTTGGAGGCTTCGATAATTTACTTTCCATAATTGATAAAACAACTAGGTAGAAAATGGCAGCATGCTGCTGTGATAGGATTATATCTATCTGCCTTCAAGGAAATCCAATCAATACAACAACTATTCCAATGTTTGTAGCAACCACAAAAGCTAGTGATGTAAATGCTTACTCCTCGCCCCCACTATCATGA